ACCTGGTGAATCATCCGAATCCAGCATCATGAAACAAATGTAGACGGAGAGAGAGAGAGAGAAGCACGTTAAAGAAGAGATTAGGGATTTTGACGGATTGGGGGGATTTTGGTTTAATGAGATTGGGGCATTTTGGTCTTGGCTTTGGGACGGTGGGGGGAAAAACCCGAAGCAGGATGGCTGGGGAGGGAGAAGAGCATTAGCGGATTTTTTGAGATTTGGGGAATTTTGGGTTTGGGTGGGCGGAAAACCCAAGCGAGAATGGAAAAGGGAGGGGGGGGAGAATGGCAGGATTTTTTTGAATTTTTTTTTTATCTCAAGTTTTTCATTACTCAATATGAATATTTAAATAATAAACGATTTTTTTTCGCCAGACAAAGGATTGGTCATTGTTTAATAAAAATGTAAATAATTTTTTATTAAAATAATTTTTTTATAGTTAATGAATTTTTATTTTTATTTTTTCATTTAGTAAGGTTGAAAATTTATTTGTTTCATATTTATTTTAATGAATACAAAATTATTATTATTTTTTTATTTGGTAAAAGTAGGGATAATATTTTCCATTAAAATAAAGTTAATTTTTTGTGGCTAATGAAAAATATTTTTTTGCGACCCTTTTTTTTTTTGTTAAGTGATGGTGAAAGAGATAAGTGGTGAAGTTGTGGTAGTGGTAGAGGAGATAGAATAGCGGTGGTAGAAGAGAGGTAATAGTAGTAGTAGAGAGAGAAGAGCGAGAGATAGATAAACAGACACAGAGAGAGAAAGAGAGAGAGACAATGAGAGAGAGATATAGAGAGAGAGAGATATAGAAAAATAAAGAGAAACAAGAGATGAGCGAGAGATAGACAAAGAGAAAGAGAAATAAAGTGAAAAGAGATGATCGACAGAAAGACATAGAAAAAGAGAGAGACGAAGAGAGAAGAAAGATAAGCGAGAGAGAGAGAGAGAGATAGAGAGAAGATAAATGAACGAGAGAGAAGAGAGATAGAGAGATGAGAGAGATAGAGAGAAGAGAGATGAGTGAGAGACAAAGAGAGAAAGAGACAAAGACAGAGACAAAGACTGACAGACAGAGAAGAGTGATAAGTGAGAGAGAGAAGAGAGGTAATATTTTGTGGTAGAGGAGAGGAAGCGGCAGTAGTAGTGAAGGTGGTGGATAAGAGACGATGGTGGTGGTGGTGATAGCGAAGGAGATTAGTGGTGAAGTTGTGGTAGTAGTAGAGTAGATGGAGTGGCAGGGGTGAAAGAGAGATAATGGTAGTAGTAGTAGTGGCAATAGTGGTAGTGGTGGTAATGGAGTGGTGGCGATGGTAGTAATAATGGTAGTCGTAGAGGTGAAATGGCGACCGTGGTAATACTGGTGGTAGTGAAATGGCGTTTGCAGTAGTGGTGAAGGCAGTAGAGGAGATGAGTGGTGAGAGAAAGAAATGAGTGAGAGACACAAAAAGAGAGAGAGAGAGAGAGAGAAAAAAAGAGATGGAGAAAAGAGAGATGGACGAGAGACACAGAGAAAAAGAGAGAGACAAACAGACAGACAGACAGACAAAGAAGAGTGATGAGTGAGAGAGAGAAAGAGAAGAAAGACAGAGACACAGAGAGAAAGAGAGAGACGGACAAACAGATAAGAGTGATGAGTGAGAGAGAGAGATAGAGAGACAGACAGACAGACAGACAGAGAAGAGAAACAGAGACACATAGAGGAAGGGAGAGACAACAGACAGACAGAGAAGAGTGATGAGTGAGAGAGAGGGAAAGAGAAGAAAGACAAAGACAGAGAGATAGAAAGATGAAAAAATGGGTGAAAAGAGAAATGTTCAAAAGAGTAAGGCGACGTCATTTATAGTGGATCGATAAATCGAGAAGGAGCTCGATAAATAGAGAAGATGGGAGTAAGAGAGTGAGCAATGAGAACATAGTAATGGAGAAATAGACAAATAGACAAGTAGACAGAGAGAGAGAGAAGGGTGATGAGTGAGAGAGAGAGATAGACAGAAAAAGAGATAGAGAGAGAGAGAGAGAGAGAGAGAGAGATAGATGGAGAGATAGAAAAAGAGAGAGAAACAAGAGATGAGCGAGAGATAGACAAAAAGAAAGAGAAATAGAACGAAAAGAGATGAGCGAGAGAGAGACATAAAAAAAGATAGAGACAGAGAGAGAAGATAAATGAGCGAGAGAGATAAAAAGAGATAGAAAGATAAAAGAGAGAGAGAAAAGAAATGAGAGAGAAGAGAGACGAGCGAGAGAGATAGAGAGAGAAAACAAATGTGAGAGATAGAGAGAAGAGAGATAGGCGAGAGACACAGAGAGAAAATGAGAGAGAGAAACAGACAGATAGAGAAAGAAGAGTGATGAGTGAAAGAGATAAAGAGAAAA